GGTTTAGCACATGAAGGTGTCATCGATTTTACGTCTAGATTTAATTTTTCGGAGTATTTTTTAATGAGATCGCTAGTTAATTTAAGCGTTTTAGTGGTTGGGTCTGTTTTGACCTTTTTATACGTGCTTACATCCGACAACAGTTCTTGTATTTTCAAATTATAATCCGACGTTTTCATAACCACCGTAGCATTTCCTTTATCTGCGCGGAGAACAGTTAAATCTTTGTTGTTGCGATGTTCTAATAAGGACGAAATATCTTGTCGTATACCGTCTAAATATTCCTTACCGATGTTATTTTTATATAGACAGTCCTCGACACTACAGATTATTTCTTCGTACGGGATTTTTTGCGGCGTTATTGCGAAATTTAAACCTTTCGATAACACCTTCATAGTAGATTCATCCAGTGTTTGTTGTGACAGATTATAGACCGCGCGATGTCTATTCTCTGTGTCTGTGGTCAACGGTTGCGTTTCGTTCATGCGTTGCGAAGATCGTTTGGCATTTGATTTGTTGACTAATTTATGATATTTTTCAATAAGTTTATTTTTGCATTGCTTATATTTAGTTCTTTCGCGCTGATTTAATGTATACATGCAGTTTTGGTAATCAAATGCCGTTAAAATTGTTTTAAGCTGACTGGACGAATTATCTATGGCAGAATTAATGACATATAGATCGGATCTATTTTGACGAATTACCCTACGTAACAATTTTATACTGGCCTGGTTTAAGATCTTCGCGCTTCCTCGAATGTCCTTCTTCGATGAGATTTTGACACACGTAGGAATGAGATTGTTGTCTCGGCATCTCTTCAAGAAATTTAAAGATGTTATATATCTTGCGCGCTTAGTCTTCAGATCTTCCAGACCGCGAATTTTATTTGCAACTTCCAGTCCGTACTGGTTTACATAATAATTTCTTGTATTTACGCGATTACACATTATAAATGAAACTAATTTTACGGATTTATCGCGTTTATTTTAATTTTTGGTCCCGTGACCATGAACGCTGTAAAGGGTTTGAAACGTCGGGAATTAAAATTAAAAATAAACGCGATAAATCCGTAAAAATTAGTTTCATTCAAAAAGCAATGTGTTAATGAAAGTTCATACTAAACTCGTTTTCATAATAAATTATATAGCAATAACACAATTATTTGAGAACAATACCATATATTATTAACTTGTATAACTTACAAAGTCAACATACTCTTTATAAGATTCGTAATTTCAAAATAGTGATACAAAGCTCAAAGCGCAATTTGCTAAAGTTAGACTTAAGAGCATTTATCACGTGAACGTAATCATGTCTAGGAACCTACAAAAAGAGCATTAGCATAAGAGAATCATTTCGGTCCAAGGCACTCTTAAAAACCGAGCTTTTGGAGCTTTGCGCCATCGATCAAGGGAGCTAGAGGAAGGCGATCATTCATTATTATGTAGTCGCAATTCAAAATCTGCCCGCTCGGTAATAACTCATATCGAAACTTGCTTTATCATTACTCCGTTATAGAGTTTTACATTCGATAATAATATCCTGAGTGTTCTTTGATTCCCGCGGGGTCGGACTTACCGGGGGTCCTAATACGGGGAGTATTAAAACGGTCAAAGAATAAAATTGCCTACAACAGACTGGTCGATGTCTCGTTAATTCCCTTTTTGAATTTTTGATTTATCGAATCTCAGGCTTAATCTTACATATTTTTGGAAACGTAAATCGCGCTGAAAATCGTAATAAATACATTTTAGAGGAACTACTTTCGGCTAAGGAGCATGGTGCCACAAGGATTTTAGTGATCTCATTTTAAATGATTAATACTGTGGAAACAATTAGGAAATATCACGTGGTTTTCATATATTCCCATGCGTCAGAAGCGTACTTGTTCCCGAACATGAAATACATCGAGGAAAACGGATGTAAAAAGTTACTGTCCATTAAGCCCTGACCGAAGATCGGCCCTCTGGTCTGATAGGTGATAAACTTAAGTGGATTAGTTCTTTGTTGCAACAGCTAAGTAAAAACAACCATTTTATGAATTTCATCATCCGTATTTGATCCCGGTATTTGCATCGTACAAGAAACCATTGTGTGAACCTTCATGTATTTGAATACTGAATCATGTGATGATGAGTGTCGACAATATATCTCATATGAAGTATGCTTGATGACCCAGTTAGTGTAGTGGGTAGAGATCCTGTATGTTGCGTCAGATGGTGTGGCTTCGAAAAAATCATGTGTGTAAAAGGTATGTTTATCAGTTACCAAGTACCCATAGTACAAGACTTGATTTGTTTGAGAGAACGTTGTGAAAAAATTAGTGTCGAAATGTTTAGTAGTATTATTCCTGTCTAGGCTTACTGGTACATAATAAAGTCAGTTGATAATGCTTCCCGAAGGATGGATTTGTAATTCATAATCTGAGAGACAGACTGTGCGGGGAATTTGCCTTAGTATTAGTGGCAGGGGCAACTTTCATCCCAAACATTAATTTGGGTGAATTTTAGTAAAATTTGAAGTAAAGAAAATTAAGTATCCAATCAAGTACTTAATTACAAATGTATATCTAAACTGTAAAAGATCAATAGATCTTATGCAGAGTCATTTTGGTTTTCTTCAACATTAAATTAATTGTTAATCTATGACAAAAGGTTCAGGATACAGTACAATGTGCTCTTAACCTCAACGGGGGGTCAAAATAATCCTACTGTGTCGTGAAATTGATACAAAATTTTCCCTCGGCCAAAGCCGGTATTAAAATTTAGCGGCTTTGTTATCGGATTCGAATTCACTGGAGAATGATTGCGTGTTATTTCCCCGTACAATGAAACTGAGAGCAGGGTTGCTTAATTTGTTTTGATATAGTTGCACTAACTATCATTAGGAGATGCAATAGAGTTGACTAAAACTAGTTTAATAGACGCCTGATTATGACTGATTTTGTTCTCGTAATATCTTTCTGTTTATTCTTCTTCATGTGAAATGCTGCCGAGCGAGTAGGTAGTTAATAACAATAGTAGAGTAGGTAGTTCAGTGAAATTTAAATGATTACCGCTGCCGACAGATATCTACAACACCTCAGCGGTAGAAGATTCATAACCATTGTTTATAAAACTGAATCCAAGTGTAGTACCTTATTTGCCAATTGTACTTCTCGAATGTGCCTGCCAATTCTTGCAACAGTTGAAGCTGCTACATGACCACGCCACAGGAAAATTTCAAATTCTTCCTATCCACACAAAAGTCTTCAACGTTGCACGAATGGGCAGGTTCATCTACGACCTATTAGAATACCGGTGTGTAGTGGAATCGTTACATTTCTGCTTTCGTCTCATTGAGGTACCTAGGACCTAATGTATTAAAAGGTCTACAAGTCTAAAGGGGCTATGCATCTACATCCCTACGGGTGTTGCAAATGTCCACTTGTTGTCACTTAACATAAGGTGAGCCACCAGCTGGCTTGCCACCTTAAACCAACTTAAAAAAAATATCTTAGCTGAGATGAAGTAAAGGAACAGTATCTCAGCCCTGTAGTCCCGGGCTTATAGAATAGGGCTAAGGTATCCCCTGCCTGTCGTAAAAGGCGACTAAAAGGGGACACGGATGGGCAGCAGCACGAAGTGGTCTCGTGTTGCTGTAAGAGGATGAGGGGATTGGAGAAGGTTTATCCTTCTCCGAGGCGTGCTCAGGCGTAGTACCGAGGGACACCGGTGCGTTCCATGAGAGATCCCGGAGTCCCTCCAAATCTACAGACGGCCACCGAGGGGGTTTTAGTGGGTAAGAACCCCACATAACCCTGTCATGTAAAGTGACAGGGTATCTTTTGAAGATTCCCCCCCCGATACCAAAAAAAAAAAAGTAATAGTGTCATCAATATTTTTTTTCTCAGATAGAAATAAAATGTTTTAATGATTGAATTGCCAGCAGCTGGTTTTACTACTTAAACACAAAGCTTTGACCTCTTGATAGCAGAAAATGTTATACTTGCGTAATGCTAAACGATACACAGTAGGAGCCGTCCATTTCACTGTGGATTTGAAACGGAAAAATCCAACGAAACCGGTGAGGAGCTCGGAAAGAGCGCAGACAGCAACAGATCCTCGTTTTATAGGGCAATAAAGAACAATTCGCTGGCTAGCAACCCACCTATCTGTGCGCTATCGCAACAAATTGCACGTGATGTATCTCCGGCCATTACTGGGCTGACCATATTTCTTCCGAAACATTCTGGACTGTATGAAAGTTTTTCTCTTTGAGAAATATTGCAACGGTCTGTAACTTGCCACTTTGTAGGAAGCATTTTATGCGTAAAATAAGATTTAAAAATTTGGATCAACGTATTTATCGTAATTAATTTGAAGACTCAACATCTGTCAAAAAAGTAAAACGTATAAATTGTTTTTTTTTTTTTTTTATGTATTCACATGTGTAAAAGATAATAGCTCGCTCACGTCTCAATTCTAGTGTTTATAAAGACTAATATCAAATGGACAAATTTAAAAATGGCAACACTTATTAACGCTTATTAACACATTACGTTAACAGGAGTTTAAGTAGAATTTTTTTACAAGCAATCTTCAAAATACACGAGAAACTTTATAATCGAGTGTCATACACGAATAAGCCTTTGTATTTAGAATGCAAAGTGTACAAATTAATATCTTACGTTATATACAACCAGAGACTCATCACAATAACATAAGCAATTTTATTATTCTGTTACTAAGAGCACTTAGAAAATGATGCCAACATGCCAATTAATTGTTAAGTCGACTCTGCGATCCTAAAGATGTAAAACGCTTTCAAGAGTTAAGTAGTGTGTAGCTTACTGTCTAACATAATAACTGATATCCCAATACCTAAGTAATCCATATCTACCGCAGTGCCTTTACCGGAGCCTCTCGTCCAGCCACCAGCAAGATTTTATCGCTCCTTCGAACCATTAAACCGACCATAATGAAGTTTCCCCGCCGGATAATGCAGTGGAGCATTACGCAATGATTTACAAGGGCGGCAATAAAAAGAATTTAAGGGATGACCCGCGCGTAAAAATGGCGGCCGCGGGGTGGTTCGGTGTCATAAAGAAGAGGGATGTTGCCGCAGCCGGATTCAACGGCCGAGCGGAACTAGCCGAAGGCGGGTTCCGTGTTGGAGTTTTGCAATTTGAGAGACCATCGGCTGTAAGGGAAAAATTGTTTCTTCCCATAATAATGTAGGAAAAATAAATATACGAAAATTTGTTACTTCACATAATTTACTGTGGTATGGCCGCGCAACAGTGTTCGCTATTGCACGGGTTAGTATCACGACCTGACAGAAGATCGGCTTGAAGTAGAAGTGTTACACTTGTGCGCTTAGTCTAGTGAGTTAGGTAGCCGGGGCCCACTTTATTAAAAGGTGGCAATGCATCTACAAACCTACGGGTGTTAAACCGCGAGCTGGTTTTCCACTTCCTGACATAAAATTATATATCAGTTGTAGGTATGCTGAGTTCATGCTGTGACGACCATGTGGCTTGGAACTTCGACTAGGGATTTGACGTTCGACTAGGGAATGGTTTTACTTAGTTTTGTCTGTGGTAGGGCCACTCAACAACCGCTGCACGAAGGAGCAGGCTCGTACAGGGCCGTACCATGCCCCCATAGAAGAGCAGCGAGGAGTGGAACTATTGTACTTTAATGTTTCGTCTTGTGGTGGCCCACCTTTTTACAAGTTTACCAGACATCAGCAGACCGTCAAGTGTTGTAGATGTCCATGGGTGGTGGTAATCACTTGACATCATGTGAATCACCGGCTTGCTTGACAGCTTTACACGTAAAAAATAACTTTCCTTTACTTTATGCCATCGCAAACTCCCAACTTTTCATGCTTTTGAGGCTCGTTCTTATTACCCTGTCCTTAGAATACGACTATTTAATTTTTTTTACTATACTTTTTTTTAAACTCAAGTTAAACTTGAGTGTATATATATATATATATATATATCTCAAATTTAACAATGCCATAAATGTAATATGTTAATTTTAAAAGTTATCCAGAATTGCGTTAAATATAATATGTTAATTTTAAAAGTTATCCAGAATTGCGTTAAGATATACGGAACAGCTTTCGAATTGACATTGTGGGCCTGGGCCATTCTATTGATTTACTTTGAATTTTATCGAGTCATAATTTACGGAATATAGCGTGTTATGATGAGAATTTTATGGCAATTTTGTCATCTGAACGTGCATTTAGAACTGCCGGAGGGGAGATTTATAACACAGGAAAAAGAGATTGGGTTTATTGAATGTCTGTGTTGAAAAAATAGTCTGTTATTTATAGTGTCATATCAATTTTGTGTCAATATTGTGTTTGTTTATGTCTTTCCACGAGGTGTCAAATATTGTTATTAATATAAAATGAACGGGAGTTGTCTTGTTACAATCATGTTTTACGTTGAACATAAATAATAATTTTCATAATATTTTTTATGTTCATTTTTTTTAATCAAAGGTTCACGACATTCTTTAGTAAACCGCGGTAGGTTCTCAATTTTCTGCCCCATACAAGCGCTCGTAGAAGCTACCACGCTGCTATATTTCAGTATTGCTATATTCAGCTATCGACAGAGCAGATGATCACATCGCAAGCGGAGAACATGACCCGACTACCATAGACCGTCTATCGAGGAATTTTTTTATGGGAGAAAGTGGCAACCGAGCTGGCGGTTCACCTGATGTTATGTTAACCGCCGCCCATGGACATCTGCTACACCTGAGGGTTACAGATACCTTGACAACCTTTTGAAAATTGGGCTCCAGCTACCTCACTCACCAGACGAAACGCGAAAGTATTTGTCATACTTCCACTTTACGCTGGTCTAAAGCGCATAAGTGTAACACATCAACGTTACGCCAGTCTTCTGTGAGGTCGTGGTACTAACCCGGGCGGACCTGCCCACTCGTGTAACAGTGAACACTGTTGCATGGCCCTACCCTAGTAAAATTTGATGGGATGTCGAGCCAGCAGTTCAGCTTGTCCGGTCCATCGCGCCGGTGGATCCGGGCGCCCGTAAAGACAAATTGAAATCCGCCGGACGCGGTGAGGAATGATCGCGGGGCAATTAAGGCGGGCGGCCATAAATCGGTGCGTATCTGATTCGGTACATGGAAGGGGCGTTGCTGTGCGGACGGTGAGCCGACCGGCCGTGGGCACACCGGGCCCTACCTGGGATATCTCACTCGCACGGCATGCGATATGCGAAACACTGACTAAGTAATGGGCAGACTTAATTTTGCATTCGTTTGGTACGACGCAAATTATTTGTTAGTACTGTTAAACATTATCTTGTTTAAACCTATTGACCCCGGCAACACACGCGTAATAATATTTTTAATGTAACTACTTAACTAAGTACTCAAACTAAGGTAAAGATCATGGGAGACAATAACGTTTGCTTGTAAGAGACTTGAGATTTACACTAAGGGGATTCAAAACCCCTTGAGTCCCCCAGTATTAAGCTAACATTATTTTCATAAGTATGACAGTAACAACTGAATATTGACTAGCATCCATTTTAAACAAATGTAGTATTTGTAAAATTGATTATCGCTTGTTTTATTGAGTGCTCAATGTTAGAATAGGTTAAAAACACATGACAAACCTTATATGCTATCCTTGTCATTATCAAATTTAACTTTGAAATAAATAGTTACACGTATCGAGGATTAAAAACATGCTTTCTTATCAGCCACATTACCATCACACATTTTCTGTAGGACAGTATTATATGCTTTGTTAGTGCCAAATGATTTCACTTGTGGTAGCCCGAAGATTTATGATAACAAAATGTGATGTTAATTCAACTTTTAAAGGCACACGCGGTTGAAGAATTTACCTGCAAGATTTCCTGCTGTGAACCCATTGCATGTCGTAAGGTTAACGTAACAAAGCCTGCATCGATGGAAGATGTTGACTCATTGAATTTATCATTAGTTTCTTCAAAGCTACGTCTAAAAGACGAAATGCTAGGCTTTTGTTACTTACCATCTGTACTTTTTAACGTTCAACGATCCCGTCGTGCGTTTTTTACAATCGTACAAGTTTAACGTTACTTAACGTTGGCACGTTAACTGGGATAATACGTTGTCTAGCACTGTTTGGCTGTAGGTACAGTGTTAAAAATCCCCCTCCATATTTTCGAAATAATAAAAAAAACATATCGAAGATAATATGTGAAGTCCACCAATCCGCAATGGTGCTGCGTGGTGGTATCATATACCTGACACCGTCTATACAGAGGAGGCCTTTGCCCAGCGGTGGGACATGTATAAAATTAAATAAAATAAAATTAAAGCATTAGTTCTTATTTTACTTTTTCACTTTTACATACAATTGTTCCTGAGATCACCTGAAGACAGTAAGAACTCAAGAAACCGTGTCACGTGATAAATCCAAATGTCAATGATATTTGGGCTTGCTTTTTTTTTACTTTAGGATAAGGGATCTTAAGGTATCTCTAACTGCGTCCAGTAATATGACAGTAATTAAAAAAAAGCGTGTGTGTACATATGCGCATACGTAAGAAGTTATAATTATTTAGCGTAGAAGTAACATAAGCAAAAAAAACTAAAAATTTAATACCCTGTGCCAGTACTATTTGCTTGTGGAAAAGAAATTAAATGCAATAAATATACAGCGTGTCGTTACCATCGCGACAATAAATGAATCCACGTTTGACGGTGGTAGGGCCACGCAGCAGCCTCGGCTGTTGCACGAATGGGCAGGCCCGTCCGGGTAAGTACCACGACCTCACAGAAGACCGGCGTAAAGTGGAAGTATGACAAATACTTTCGCGTTTCGTCTGGTGAGTGAGGTAGCCGGAGCCCAATTTTCAAAAGGTTGTCAACGCATCTGTAACCCTCGAGTGTAGCAGATGTCCATGGGCGGCGGTATTCACTTAACATCAGGTGAACCGTCTGCTCGTTTGACAACTTTTCGCATAAAAAAAAAAAAAAAAAAAACACTACTTGCCAATAATCATAAAAAATATTAACGTTAAAAAAATCCATAGTTAAAATTTTTTTTTTTTCAAACAAACTAATTAAGTAAAAAAGAAACAAAATTTGTAACATCCTTTACAACTACATCTGACTGATTCATACATTCAGAGACTTTTTCATTCGTTGCCACAGCGTCGCATTACAAGTCTCTCCTTCTAACAGTATGTTTTGTCTCTTTTAAATTCATTCAATCCATTCATATGCTTTGTGACCTTTACAAATGAACTTTACGTTACAGTTTTATGCGTAAGGGTGTTCTAAAATTCTTTGTTTTGGAACATTTAATAACTCGGTAAATATTGATGTTTAAAGAATGTAAATGTTTAAAACAATTTTAAAAAGTAATCCTCTATATGTGTGTTCATTTATTGTCGCGATTGTAAAGACACGCTGCATCGATAACTATTATAACTATCGGAGTTATATGTAAATGTCAAAAAGTTGTTATTGGTTACCACGGTAATACCGTAAGGGTCACGCATTTAGGTGGTCGGTGTGCGCGCGTATCGTAAAATCATAGCTTTTCCAAATGCGCCAAAGGAAAGTATAACTTCGAAAACTAATTACCTGTTGCTCTCGTTGCACCGCCACCGTGGACATTACATAAATGAATCAAGAACGCACATGTGGACGGTTCGCATGAAGTCGGACGCAGCCCTTTAAGTGCTTGCCTGACGTGCTAAAGAATATATTAGCGCTGATAGCGGCAGGCGGTCGGTTAAAAAACGACATCGGCCTCGAGATAATGCTCCGTCTCGCCAACGACCCATACACGGGAACGGGACGGAAACAGCACAAAGAATCTTTGTAGGTTTTGAATAACACCGAGATGCGTATCGTCGGTGAATTTATAATGCCGATGCACGATTATGCGGTATCGAATGGTTTTTAGCAAAGCATTCAAGTGATGCGGGCTCCGGTTGCTTTATCGCTGCTCAAGTTTAAGTATAATTTCGTTAAGACACGCGAAGGTCGGTTACCGATAACTCAAAACCCTTAATAACATAAAATCTTGACGGGAATCTAATAAATTCGATGTCACTGTTTTGACCAATTTTGACCTCAAGGTACAAATCAAGTAGTCGTATAGTTTTGCGATCGACTCTTACTTTTTAATCGAAATAGAATCTACTTTGAATAACATTATATGCCTTGTTGATAATACATAC